AGTGTCTGCTGCACCCGGGAAGGGCGGACGGCAGAAGGGCTGCATCCGCTCCCCTCTGCCGGTCAGGGAGGGCCTGGAGAACATGGCGGGGTCACCTCCGCCTCACCGAGGGCCAGCCCCCTGGCTCTCATGGCCATGGGCACTCAGGAGCAGGACACTCTCCCCCACGGCTGAACCGCACTTCCGGCGCCCGGCACCCCCCAGCCCCTGCATGGAGGCCTCCCAAGAGAAAGTGTGCCCGAGTGCGGAGCGTCCCCTCCTTCTAAGACATACGACGTCCTGAGCATCCCGAAGGACTTCCACTGTACCTCACAGGTCTCAGACCTCCTGCCCAAGGACGTTTAAGGGGGATTTCTGTGCACGATTGAGCCCCAGGAACTGCACACCGAGGACACCTGGCTGAATGGGAAACCGGATGGGAAACGCCTGGACTCCACACGGAACTGGAACCGCCCATTCCTGTCCTGCTGGGAGGTCGTCTGGCAACTCACCGCTGAGGCTGGGGTGGTGAGGAGGACACGGCCGGGCCAGCACACCCACCCCGAGAGCAGACGCTGCGCACGGACTATGCCCTGGATCTGAGAACCCTCTTCATCATCCACTTGCTGTCCACGAGGCTGGGACAGGCCGGATCTGCCCCCGGGGTGCAGGGGCCGCAGGGTGAGAGGGAGGGTCATCACCGAGGCCGGGGGTGGTGACCCCACATTGAAGAAAAAGCCTGTGGTGTGTCCCCCGCCCACAGGCTCGGGCTCTCAGGCCGACTGCCAGTCATCCTGCTGCTCGCTTGAGGTCGAACTTGGCTCAGGAGCTGGTGGGGGGGCGGGAGCAAAACACCCCCTGCAAACGGGGAAACCCAGGTGCAGACCCGGCCAAGGGTGGAGCTCAGTGACCCCGTTCCATATTCTTTTCACGGCACGACGGGTCTGGTCAGGCAACATCCCTGGTGGCTGGGACGACGGTCCTCAAAATGACTCCCACTTGGAATCTCCTGGGGAACCCTCCTGGGGTCCCCAGTCCCTGAGACTGCACATGGTCTGTGGCAGCCAGGGCACAGGGGTCTTCAGACCACCCAGGGGGTCTCCGCTGATGGGAAGAATGTAAGGACATCACTCAGACTCCTTCTGTGCCTCTCGGATATTCCCCGTCCGTCACTTGAAGACGTCAGGGGGTATCACAGGGCATTTGTTTCAATAAAGGGGAGTTGATTCTCCAGAAGAGTAAACTTTTCTGTGGTTCGCATTTTCCGACTTAGCTTCGGGCAGAGCTCTGTCGATCAAAAAAGTCCATTCGAGTTGTAGACGACAGCAAAAGTGGTGTTCATCCCGCTACCGTGGGGAACTACACTCACTGCCTGAAACCAACAGAACATTGTCTGAGAACTTGGACTTCAGGTTAGCTTGGCAACGACTGAATGAACGCTTGTTCTGGGAACCAAGGAGCCCCTGCCCTCGACCCAAAGCGCATGGAACTCCTGGTTCAAGGCCATGCTTTGCTTTCTCAGCACAAAGAAAAAAACATTCCCAGCCTAGGACAGGGATGCATATGCTAAGTGAATATTTGCACAAGAGAAAGTAATCTTATTTTAATAAAAGTTCCCATTCGTTAGTGATTGTGAATTAACGATGATACAGTTTCAGTTATTTATTTTTAGTATTTTATTTATTTGTTTATAGGGAGGAAAGAGAAGGAGAAACAGAGGGAGAGAAACATCAGTCTGTGGTTGCCTCTCATGCGCCCCCTACTGGGAACTGGCCTGCAACCCAGACATGTGCCCTGACTGGGAATCGAACCTTTGACCCTTTGCTTCACAGGCCCGTGCTCAATCCACTGAGCCATACCAGCCAGGACCAGTTTCAGTTATTTTTTTAGGTAGCACTTAATGAACATACTCATTAAAAATTATTCACCATTAATGACTGCCCAGCTAACAGGACCACACACCCAAGGGTGGGACAGGTGGAGTGGCCTTTATAACAGTGAGGCCGTCAGACTGAACCTCAGAAGCCACTCGGTCGCTCCAGCGGACTGGCCAGCTCTCTCTTCTTCGGACGGCTCACAGTGATTTCTGCAGAGCTGTCTGCGCTCGGGGACTGACCCCTCAGTCCAGCGGGGTTTGGTGTCTTCACCCATCATTTGACGTGTCACAGGACACTGTGGACAAGCCGCCGACGCTCAAAGGGCCGCACCGCATCCCTCCGCACGGAGAGGACAGGCTCCGATGGGCCTTCTGTCCTTTGCTGCGCCACCCGCGCTGCCACCAAAGCCTGAGCCGCATCGGAGCTTCCCTGGCTGCAACTGCAGCCCCAGCCGGAGCTGCGTGACAGTCTCCTGGCTTCTTCTCCACCATCCCCTCCCCTTCCCGGACACATTCTCCAGACTGTTTGTCCAAAGAATAATGTCGCAAGTCCTCCACGGCCGCTGAGGCCCTCGGGGCCCTGGCTGCAGCTAGCCTCAGGGGCCACCACCTGCCCTCACCTTGTACTCCAAGCTCCACTCTGCCATGCAGGCCCCTTTCTGTCCCCAAACGCATACAGTTTGCCCCTGCACTGGATGTATCTCCTACTCGCTCTGCCTGGACGCCAGCCACATGGAGTCCACACGGGGAGCTTCCTCCATGGGCCGGGTGCCAGCTGTGCAGAGGCCTCTGAGGCCACTCGAACTCGAGGGGCTGATGTCAACCCTCAGCAAGTCCTTTTCCCAGCACTGTCCCCAGAGGCATTCTTCACCAGCTGCACCCACCCTGGACCCTGCGAGGCCAACACACCTGTGCCCTGCACTGCAAGCCTCCTGAACGCCAGCTGGTTCACAGCGGGGGTAAGTGGGGGTGTCCCTCCCTGCTCAGCTTCTCAGTGCCACCCAGGGACAAGTGGGGGTGTTCCTCCCCTCACAGCTTCTCGGTGCCACCCAGGGACAAGTGGGGCTGTCCCTCCCTGCACAGCTTCTCTGTGCCACCCAGGGACAAGTGGGGGTGTCCCTCCCGGCTCAGCATCTCAGGGCTATACCTTCACATCTCAGCTCCTGCCAGGCAGCTGCTCTCCTGTGGTTCCAGAGACACCCCCTATTGATTCCCTGAGTCCTGCCCCTGAGAACCAGCTCCTAATTAAAACCTCATGAACCACTACAGGGTCCCAATTCAGAGGCCTGACTGACACCACCCCGCCCTGTCCCCTCCTTGGTCACTCCCTCACATTGTCCTGCTCTGTTTTCTCCACTGCACACACCACTCAGACAGAACGGGGTTCACTTACTTCTTTCTAGCGTCCCCGTTCTCACCCCCAGACATACGCAGGAAGCTCAGCGTGCTCACTGCTCTACACGCTGGGCCTAAAGCAGAGCCTGGAGGATAGGATCGCTGAATAAATAGCGAGAGAATAAACGACCCAATGTGCGCATGAATACCACCAGCTCGCTGCCTGCTCCACCCTCCACCTCCCCAGCAAGGACCACCCACCCGCCCGCCCCATCGCACACAAAATAGCATGCTCCTCTCCCAGACCTCCCGCCTCCGCCCCCACCTCAGGGTGTTGATTTTTCCTTTGGCAGCATCACCTCCAACACATTTGATATTTATTCATTTACATGTTTCCCCCAACAAAAAACACATCAGCCCTGAAGGCGGGAACGCTATTGAACCACCGCTGTGCTCTGGGAGCCTAGAGCAGTGCTTGGCCCAGGGCTCCGCCCCCACTCACATTTGCTAAAATGAACAGCCTGCAAGTGGGCGGAATTTCACAGGCAGCCATTCAGGGTTGCGCCGCCCTTCCTGGAAAGAATGTAATCGGTGCCTTGCTCGACGCCCGAGAAAACAGTGCCATCTTCCAAGACCTGACCTTGCTCCCCTAGCAGCATCGTGAAGACGCCCAAGAATGACTGTAAATGCTGCTGGACGCAGGCGCAGGGAGAGAGAAGGTCTAAGAGTGAGCAAGACCCTGTGTTTGTGACAACTGTTGCTTGAGAATGTGTACCAGGAAGCTTACCTAAGGTCACAGCCATTGGGGAATCCTTCCCGAAAGTACACAGTACATAAATGATACATTTGTATGAAGCTCGCTCTCTGGTCCACTGTGGCCCCTGTTGGCACCAACAGCGCAGACGGACCAGGGCCGCGGAGGCTTGCTCTCTGACAGCCACTCTCCCGGACGCAGCTCTCCAGGAGAGGCCTCATTCCACACCGCCCCTGGGGTCCAGACTTTATTCTGCGTGCTGATCGCAGATTTGAAATAAATGCCTCCTCCCCGCCACTGATGACTCATACCTGCCCCCTCACCTTCCAGAGCATCTGAATGGTGTGGGGTGTGGGTGTGGGAGGAGGCTGGTGGAGAAGGGAGTCCCCATGGATCGATTGTCCCTGAGGGTGGCATGTCACTCTTTCAGGCAGCAAGATTCCCGAGTAAATGTCCTAAAGGCCTAAAAAGTGAGTCCCTTCCCTCCCAAAACCATTCGACCAAAACTGGCCAACCGTGGGGTAATGAGCAACCGCGCCGCTCACCCAAACATTGGCTCTTCTTCCACTAGTGCAGATTGGGAACGTGTGAGTCACGTCACCACAGTGAGTCCCTAGGAATGAGGTGACCCCTCATCTAACCAATAAGTGCAGCAGCTGGGACGAGCCTCCGGGTGACAGCACAGCATGAGCTCCCGAGCTCCCCTCGTCACTTCAGGGGCGAATTGCTCCCCGTCCCCGCCTGAGCAGACACCCAGGGCAGGGGCGTCACTGGAGGTGGTGACCAGCCCAGGTCCCGGCCCAGGCGCTGAACACCCACTGGGCAGGCTGGGCATGCAGCCCAGAGGGTGCTCGGGGACCCGGGACCCTCGGGGAGTGCGACCCCACCCCAGGCAGGACAGGAGGGGACCTAGGCTGGCAGGCCTGCCTGAGCTGTCGCCACGTCCCCTGGTCTCCCGGTCCCCTGTCGGCCCGGACCTCCGCGCCCAGACCCTCACCACGTCCTCCAGCAACAGGTGTCGACCGTGCGCCCAACGGCCCACGCGCTCGCCCTCACCCGGCAGAGGCCGTCCACGAACACGCGCGGGTCCAAGTGGCAGGCGATGGTGGCGCTGGGCAGGTCCTGCATGTCCACCTCCTCCATCTCGCAGTCGATGAAGCTCCAGTCGCCGCCGCCCCCGTCTGCCTCGGCCGCCCCGGAGAAAGGAGCGAAGGGCCGCAGCGTCACCTCGGGCCGCACTCGAGCTGCGGCCGCCGCGGCCGCCTCCCCGAGCCGGGGTGCCGCCACGCCGTCCTCCATCCTGGCGCCAGAGCGCCCTCCTCGACCGGCCGCGCCGGGCTCGTGCTCTCCCGTCTGCCTGCCGACTCGCGGTTAACCCCCTCGCTTTGGTGTCGCGTCTGACCGTCACCGCCGCGCCGGCAGCCTCTGCGCGCCAGCCAGGTCCGCCACCGTTTCCCTTCGTGTCCTGGCTGCCCAGCTCTCGAGGGCGGAGCTCCGGCGGATTCAGCAGCGGGGCCCTTTAAGGTTGGACTTGCTGTGTGTTTTTTTTTTTTTTCGTCCCGCCCTCCAAGAATAGAAGGCCAGTAAAGGAATGGAGTTCTTCTCACGTGATTCTCACTAGCTCGCCCTCAGCTTGAAGCCTCCGGCAGCCATGTTGATTACGGGCAAAGGCCTGTCTGGGGCTAGTTCTGCTTTTCCAGCTGCGGGTCCCAGCAGCGTGGAGCTAGGCAGTGTCCTGGGCACCGGATGGTAGCTGAGTTGACAGCTAGGTTTCCATGCGGTGACATTTGGAAGCGCATAGGCTAACTATCGGAGATTTAAGTGCAATCTAGTGCAGGCAATGGCTCTGTGGCCACGGGCAAGGGGTTGGATGCCTACTGTGCGTTATTACGGGTAGTCGCAAATAAGGAGTGAAGTGGACCTGGACAACAGTACCTTACCTTCACATTTCAGCATATTCGTCTTCATGTCAGTGTTCAAAGTTTGTATCATCAGAAATGATCTTTTGAGTTAACACCATGTACTAGGTGGGACAGGAGGTATCAAAGGCACGGAAACGTTCGTCCTTACCTTGGGGAGTTTGTCCTTCCCTCTTACGGAGGAAAATCAGCCTGTCTGTCTCTCCCCGCTTCCCTGCCTCCGCCGCTGACAGAAGCCCTTCATCTTGGAGGACAGTGGTAGAGTGAAAACCCAGTCTGAATTCCAGCTTGGCCGTCAGTGACTCGGCCAGGGTCCCCATCTCATGAAAAATGAGGTCATATATGGTGCAGGACCCAGGACAAGGGTCTGTTTATGTGCTAGGTTTTCAGGACGACGTCAAATTAGACCTGTGTTTTCTCCAAATGGAGGCTTACCTTGGAGTTAGGAACCATAAGTGATTATGATAAAACGCACATCCGACGCACAGCTGATGTTTCTTCAGAACATGCTGTGTGCTGTGGTTGCTGTTAGGACAGTCGTAGGCCCGTTGGTGTCCTGTAGAAGCTTCGGCCCTGTGGGAGTGGCGGCATGCAGGCAGCACTAGTTCCTGAGAGAGAATGCAACCGTATTGTGGCAGGCTCGAGTCTTCCTGCCCACACGGTAAGGAATTACAGATCAGCAAGGCTATTGGTGTGTAAGCGGAGCTGATTAGTGGTACTTTCTCATGGAGGAGAACAGGCCTAGCAGAGGTGGCTGGGAAAGGCAGAGGGGCTCGGTCTCCTGGGCGTGGGGATGCATGCAATTTCCGGGGCAGGGTGAGGGAATTATTGGTGGGGGAAGGGGGTACATACTCTTCCAGGGAAGAGCATAAGTCTGAGCAGAGGACTGTTAACTCAGATTTTTATCTTGTTCCAAACACCCCTTGTTTTCCTGTTCAAAACAGATGTGTGGCCAGAGGCAGTTAATCCAAGTGATTTATGAGCTTTTTCTGCAAGTGCTATGGACCCCCTTCCATCCCTCCTCCCCCTCCTCCTAAACTTCTGCCTTACAGGAGGACCCGGGGAAGTCGGGGCCATCCCACACTGCTGGTGGGAATGTAAAGTGGTACAGCCACCTTGGAAACAAGTTTGGCAGTTCCTCAAACAGTTAAACAGGAAGCTACCGCGTGACCCAGCAGTTCCTCTCCTAGGTGTACACCCAAGAGAACTGGACACGTGTGTCCACACGAAAGCCTGTGCACGAAGGTTCCTAGCAGCATTAGTCGTGATAGCTAAAGAGTGGAACTGCTCATCAGCTGATGAAGTGGGTCACCAGATGTATATCCGTACAGTGGGATGTTATCCAACCATCAAAAGCAATAAGTACTAACCCGAGTTACAACACAGATGAATCTTGAAACATTACAGTAAGTTCAAGAAGCCAGTGAGAAAAGGCTCTTTGTTATTCTGTTTATATGAAATGTCCAGAAAAGGCAAATCCATAAAGACAGAAAGTCGATTAGTGGTTGCCAGGGGCTGGGAGAAGAGGGGAGGGAATGGCTTGTAAAGGGTACAGGGTTTCTGTTGGGGGCAAAGAAGGTGTTTTAACGTTGGATTGTGGCGATGGTCGCGTGCAACCCCATGAATGTAGTTGGGATCACTCGTTGCACTTCAAAGAGCAACTTTTATACTATGTGGATTGGGTCTCAATACACCTGGCATTTTGAATACGAGAATGTGAGGAGGGTGAAGGGGTAGATGAAGTGGGAGAAGTGCGTGACTTTGTGGAGTTGGCAGCTCTGAAGGGGGAATACAGGGGAACGGGGACCAGCTGTGGACACACAGCTCCCAGCCAACCTGTTGCTGGGTGGGTCCCTGCTGTGTCATCACCCTCAGGACAGGAGGATCTTTCCCTTCTGCCTTCCCCTAAACCTCTCACAGTGTGCGGACCAAGGGCGGGAGGAAGGAATGCCCCAGGAAAACAGAAAGCTGACGTACACAGAGCCAGCCATCACAGCTGGTCCCCGCTGAGCTGAGAGAGGCAAGGGCAAGTTCAACCTCAGGCAAGTGGTGAGGACAAAGTTTCCTGTAACTGACTTGACAATGCAGTTGTTTCTAGGACACAAAGATACTCGGTCTCTCAGTTACTTTGGACCCCTGCTCTGTCTGTCTCCTCTTTCTCCCCAGGCAACAAAGCAAAAACGCTGATATTTTTTCATAGTTGTTTGTATGAACTCAGTAATAATAATAATTTCATTGGGGTAGCTCCTAAATAGTTCATGGGTGGACACACAAACTAGCTCCCATAATCCTCATGAACAGGCATTATTACTTCAGTCTTGGAACCGAGGCGCAAAGAAAGTGAGTGATTTTTCCCACCAGCACACAGCCAGTGGCCCACGCAGAACACCAGCCATGCTAGTCAAAGTGGGGCGATGGCCCTCAGGAAGAGATGACCCTTTCCCAGAGCAGCGGCCCACAGGGCACTCTCAGAGCCCCGGGCCAGCAGTCCCAAAGGGTCAGGGAAAAATGCCGGGATCTCGGTAGACAGGAGCAGCATCGCGCCTTCTGTATCCAGGTGCCCAGGGATCCTGCCCTTGGGAGGTGACAGCACTCAGTAATGAAATGTCAGATTCTCCTCCCACTTAGAAGACAAAATGTTATAGTAACTGCCACCTTTGTTGTGGGGCAGGCCTCTGGCCTTGTCGCCTTCACTAACGCCACCAGTGAGCACCAAGCTCCCGGGGCCCCTCCCAAGGAGGGGAGACAGAAAATGGGCTGTCCGCACCCCAGGAAGACGCTAAGCCAACTCGCTGCTGAGGTGTGACTTCGGATGATCTGAGGGGGCTGGGGGGGGGGGTGATCTTCTCTGTGCAGCTGTAAAGAAAACAGGGACGCGGTTCCTCAAGGTCCTCTGGGAATGGCACCGGTCTCTCCTTGTCCGCCGTGGCAGTGGACTGGAAGATGCCCCCGCTGCCTGGCTTGGCATCTGTCTGACTGGAGGGCTTTCCCTTCTCACGGGCTCCCCGGAGCCGGTCTGAGCCAGAGTTTCAGAAACCCAGAGGGAGAGGCACGGCCGCAGGCTGGGCGCCGCGGTCCTGTGGGCACCCTCTGCTCACCGCAGCGGCACCCGGAGCAGGCAAACTCCGGAGGCAACGAGTGGTCCCTGAGCAGACAGGTGGGTGAGGCACGTGTGCGCAGTGGAAGGTGACTCGGCAGCAAGAAAGACTGAGCTCTTGCCTTTCCTGACAACACAGAGGGACCCAGAGGGTACTGTGCTCAGTAACATTCATTAGTCAGGCAGAGAAAGACAAATACTGTATGATTTTACCTATGTATGGAATCTAAGAAAAGGAAACAAGTGAATAAACAAAACAAAGTAGAAACAGACCCAAAGATACAGAGAACGAGCCGATGGCTGACAAAGCTAAGAGGTTGGGAGGCTGGGGGAAATACAAAAACGATAAAGTAAAGTAATAATCAACAACACAAACTGCCACCGTGAGCAAAATATAATAATAATTTTTAAAAAGAAAAATAAGAAGCCGCTCTCAGTGATTCCTTTTTTTTAAAAAAGATTTTATTTATTTATCTTTAGAGGGGAAGGGAAGGAGACAGGGAGAGAAATATCAATGTATGGTTGCCTCTTGTGTGCCCCCTGCTGGGAACTGACCTGCAACCCAGGCATGTGCCCTGACTGGGAATCGAACTGCGATTGTCTCGTTCTCAGGCCCATGCTCAATCCACTGAGCTACACCAGCCAGGTTCAGTGATTCCTTTTATAAAATAGCAGGCAGGGCACACAATTTAGTTAGCATAACGCACCCCCTCCCCTTCATTTTCTCCCCCTTACGCTTTCATGGTGCCATCCACGGCGATTACCGAATATGACAGGAGCACGGGGCTCGGGAAGCCGCATGTGGCTTCGGTTCTTAGCACCTGCCTCTCACACGCACTGCAGCACGGTTCTGCAAACTCGCCCGTGTGTCCGTCAACCAGCCCATTCATTTGCCAGGTGGGAAGTTTCACTGCACGACTTCCAATCGCTTCCTGTTTTGCTCTGCAAATGGAAGGGGCTGTGTGCAGCAGGCCCTCGCTGAATGCTTATTAAATGAACCAAAGGCATTTCCGCACTTTCTGGCAAATTACAGGCATTTTAAGATGTTATTTTAGATAGAAGGCAAATAGCTGCATTTCCGAGTGTTTTTTTTTCTTACAAAGAATGAACTGTTCCAAAGACTGCTCAATCGAATAACTCCTGAAATAACTCAATCCTAAGTTTCTATTTTATTACCTCCTATAAAATGAATAAAAATATACACTGTTTTTGTTATTTTAGAGTACAGAACTTTTTTCTGTACTCAAGGTTCATTCCTAAATTTTATTATTCAAAATCCTTGTAATTTTTTTTTAGGGTCTGTGATGCATTTAAAATCAGAAAGCTAGCTTTACAAATCGGGTCTGGGGGCCAGTGCCGGAATGTGGTCACTTGGCCTTTCCAAGCTTGGAAAGAAAGCTCACTGACTGTTGTGTCTCTCTGAGCTCTTTCGAGGTCGCTGACACCCCCCTGGGTGCTTTTATGTGAGGGTCTCCCA